TTAATGCATGGCAGATATTAAAAATAGTCATTGATGGGTTCTCATTATCAAAAGTTGAATGACTTTAGGTTTATATGGGGGAAATGAAGATGGGCCTTCAGATTGACACTGTCACTTGCTCTCTGGCTGTGTCACCTTGCAAGGACTTACAGCTGAGTTCCTGGACAGAAATTGGCCGAGAGCAAAGTAAAGTGCCTGGTTCAAGTTCCTTTCCCTTCCTGGGGCACCACATCCAATGACTTGCCCATGCAAGAGGGGAACCTTGATACCTTTTTGCTTCAATTTAAGACTCTCCATGGCTATTCCCTCTTGAGCTGTCTGTGGGACTGACTCAAAGGCATCACATTTCTCTTCTCATCATCCTGCTGTCCTCACTCCCTCACAAGCACTGTCCAAAGAACACTCCTTAAGAAATTATCTCTATGCAAATATCCAGCTAAGAGTGGGTCCCCAGAGATCTAGACCTAAGATTAAAAATAAACTTGAACCTTTCTCAAATGAGTGATGAGAGTAAAAGATTTCTTGAGTCCTCAGGATAATCTGAAAGTTTTTTTGAGAAAATTTGTCTCTTTTTCCACATTTATAACTTGAATTAAATTAGGCATTTTCAGTCCCCCCCCCCCTACTCTCTCTCTGTAAAATTAAATGGTTGCACTGGCCAATATAAATGTGATGAATTGCGATGTGTGGCGGTTGTTCATGAAATTAGTTACTCATTTGCATTTTGACCCACATTGGGAATTTGTCATTGCACTCTGAAACCTGGCAAAGCGCTTGCAAAAAACCTTGCTGGTTACAAATAATTTTCAGAAGAAAGGGGTTAGGTCAGGAGATTTACTGCCAGTGCTTGGTGTGTTATGTGGTCTAGGCCTGTAGCCAGAAATGGCAGTTTTTACAATCCTTGTGCCCTAGTTAGGTAGTGTTTTGTTTGTTTGTTTGTTTGTTTGTTTGTTGTAGTTGTTGTTTTATTATACAGAATTTTAGAATTTTAGTCTGTGGTTGGAGCCAGAAGCAACTTGGGAAAAGAATGGCCAGATGTTTATGGAGCTCTCCACATTTTTTCTTAGCTCATTCCATATGTGAGAATACAATCAAAATAACATCATGTGTTCATTATGAAACACAACTTCCACCTGTATCCCCTAGCCCTCTTCCATAACCATGTCCTATACAGAAATTCTTGAATTACCCTGAGTACCTTCACCTAGAAAGGCAATGAATCATATTCTTTTCTGTTAAGGAAACTTCACTCAATGAGATAAAAATATCCACAATTATACTCACCAATTTAAAAAATAGATGTCATGTTAATGTGACCAGTAGTATTGTCTTTCTAGTTTATCTTAGGGCCCATGTGATTTAAAAGAGACCAGACTTTCAAGATGTCAGAAATTGTTCACTGTCACAAGCAAGTCCATTTACACAGCCAAGCTTACAAGTTCTTAGGGTCATTACAAGTTCCTTGGAGAAAGGTGATCCTGTTGGCAAAAAGAAAAAGTGATAGAGGTGGTTGAGTTGTCCCCAATTCTGAAGGACAAAAGAAAATTTAAACTTTAGTTTTCAACCTTTGGGAGTGTTTGATGTGAGACAATGTTCCCATCTGCCTGAAAGGAAAGGCTTACTGTAGATGTAATCCTGCCATATTCGAATAAAACATGGAGTGGGGAATCTATACGTTATCTCCACTGGCTTTCCTCCCACTTCAAAATTACCGCCAGTATCTGTGTTTGTTATACTACACAATCCTTCCTTAGAACTCCTTGTAGCTCTGCCTCAGAATTGACAGTTTAGTTAACAAAATTTATGGAGGCATTGTATTATGGGAACTATGTCCCAGCAATCAAGAGCTCTTTGGGGGCATAGTGCAAATACACTCACCTTTATCTAAGGTTTGATTAAAGATTGGATTTTGCACTTCTTGATTTCTGCTTTGCATCTCTATCAAGAAAAAATAAAGCATTGACATTACTTTCCAAAGGTCACAGAAAATAATTTATTTTCTAACTAAGGGGAACTTTAATAAAGATTTTTTTTTAAGCTTGCTTAGCCCAGAAAATTTATGGTAAAGATTTTTAGAATAGCCACAAACAGAAATTTCAGTGAAGATTCATATTTAAGCTAGACATTTTTTTCCTTCTGTGCCTTATTCCTTTATGGCATAAAGGGATGAAATGGTACACAGAGTCTCTGAATGCCACTATTGCAAATCATATATACAGCTGTAAAAAACAGACTCTGGTGAATAAGATTGCTGTGGTCGGGGAGAGGGAGCTCAAGCCAAAGTAATTTAATTTATCTAACCTAAATCCAAATTTCAAGACTCACTCATGAAAGGAATGTATTTATTGTTCCTATTTTTATTTCTTACTTTTCAGGCCAGCTTGGTTCCTTGTCTCCCGCTCAAATAAAGGTTAAATACAAGAATAATAGTCTTGAAATTATTTGTTAAATAATTTAATAGACACTATAATGTTTGTTTGTTTGTTTTTAGTTTTCTAAATGCCACATGTTATTTTCGAAAAAATATATACATAATATTATTTTGTATATCTGTGTTTGTGTAAAATCTATTTTGAAAAATAGCATAATCTAGCAGACAAGAGATTATGTTAGATGGAAGTTCATGTTGTTTAAAATCTACCATTACAGACTTACAGGGCATTTATTTATTTGGGATGAAAAATAATCTTCATTTCTCAAGGGCAATGCACTAGAAAATGTACATAAAATCTTGTCTGCTGAATAATCTAAGAGATAATAAAAGAATATGAGCATCATAAAATTTTTAAAAGTGTAAATGAGGAGGTAATATGAGAGGTGGGATTTACAAATCAAAAAAGAGAGAGGAAGCTAATTTCAATCTACCTTCTATGGTATTGCATTAGAGAAAAAAACACAGAATCATTTAAATTAAAACAATGGTATTGCCTACATTCAATCTTTTTTATTTTTTTTTAACTCAAGAAGTGAAACTACAAAAAAAGCTAAATGCTTGTGGGAATATTAAGAACTCATCTAAATTATTTTGAATTTAAATGTAATTTTTACTAATACTATTGAGCAATGGGAATAATTAGGATGATTTCAGCAAAGCTGGATACTTGAATAATTAAAGGCCCAAGATTAATTTCAAGAGAAGCATCATTATCCAAAATTAAATATTAGAATCCTTATAAAAGACTGGGATAGGGATAGAAGATAGCAAGAACCACATTTTACAATTATTTAGACTCATTATAATAGACTTGCTTGAAATAATATAAAATCTATTTGTATGGAGTATAGATTTCAAAGTCTCATATCAATAATTGTTTCTTCAAAAAGGTAATAATTTAATAATTTTGTCTGTAATTCTAACATTACAGTTCAACAGCAGTTTCCTAAGTTATTTGTTTTTTTAATCATTTAGAAAATGATTCTCTCCTACCTTTCCCTCAAGCTATTTTTCCCAAAACAATTTTTTTCCAGTTTCTGAAATGATCTGAATATCTTTATTTTTTATTTAAGTATTTGACACAGGGTAGGCTTGCAAGACATGATATTCTGGTCCTTTCTGTGGCATTTAACCCTACATCTTACATCTTACTTGTCATTCTGCATTAGTACCTATAACTTTTCACAATTGTACAATATCTATAATTTATCTAACCAGTCCCAATAAATAGATATTTGAATTAATTTCATATATATATATATAAAATCTTTGAACACATTTATTAAATGAATCATAAAAGTTTAATTTCTGGTCAATAGATACATGGGTTAATAATTTAACTAGTAGCTGCAATTATCCTTCAAATTTATATTTTCACAAGCAATAAGTGAGAGTGTTTTCCAACAAAAGTGTCAAAATACAGTGTTCTATAAGTTTTATCTTAGCCAACATGGCCAATGAAAAATGGAGTATCATTGGAGAGTCAGCTTGCCTTGATCTGTTTAGTGTGGTTTGAGATCATTTTACGCCCATTCATATTTAAATATCACAGTATTTCCTCTTCTGGAAGTTCACATTCTATAATTACTAAAAAATAAATGAATAAACTTAAAAATACTTTAGGCTTGTTAATCTGCAAGATTGGTGAATTATTTTTAAGCAACTATTTCCCACTAGGTCCACATTTCCATTCTTTCATGTCTTGTATAGTTGGTTAAGTATCCTGTTGTTGCTTAGCAAAGCAAAGAATGAAATCATTTTTGAGTTAAGAAAGATGACTTATGGGAAATATATGTTCACCACAGCAGTATCTTATCCAAGGGGTTGGGAGAAAGATAACAGTGAATAAATAATTGCTTATTACAATTCTAAAAGTAGGGAAAATATCACTCTAATGACAAAGTATTTCCATAGTTCCAGAATAGCGCTCCATAAATATTAATTAAATATCTAAAAGTTTTGGTTTTTATAAACACCTGATTTTGATGATTGTCATTGCATATTGTACATCTTTGTTTAGAACTCACGGAAGCTATTAAGTTTCTTTCTTTCCCCCGAGGCTTGCATGGTAAAGGTGTATGCAAAGGTAGGGCTTCTACATTAGAACAGATTCTCATGAATGCGGATGTCACTTATTTATTACAATTTGGAAAAAGCAGCAGGTTTGAAAAGTACCTACTTCAAGTTCTGGACAAGAATAATGGCTTGAACAAGTGTCCTGGTCTCTCTCATCCCCCATATCCTTAAATTTTTAATAAGATGTTTTTTACTTCATGGATATGGCAGACATACTGATCACCAAATATCCATGTGCAACACTTTGCAGCTTGGTGAAACCATAAAACTAGCTCTGGATAATGGATTATGAGTAGAAGTAATGTGTGTCATGTTAATTCCGAAAAAAATTAACCCTCCTTCACTGATGATAAAGGAGGAAGCACTTATACTAGTAGAGATGTAGCTAAAGATGGTGAGATCCTGGGACCCCGTGTGACTATGTGGAGTAGAGCTCTTTGCCACCTTCAGGCAGAGAGTTATGTACTTTGTATGAGGAATAAATTTATTTTTAAATTAATCCTGAAAATAAGAGATTAATACAAAGAAGTTTTTGTAAAAATTAAATGAAATAATGATTGCAAAGGCAACAATAAATGGCATATTGTAAGAGCACAATGTTTAACTCAGTGTTTGGCAAACATATTTTGTGAAGAGCCAGAGAGTAAATATAGGGTATCTCCCCAAAATTATTTATATATATATATATAAATTATAAAGGCAGTGTTTATTAAAATAAAGTTCATTTTCCAAATTTAGGTATCATCTATTAAAATGTCTGTACATTTTTGGGGAGTAACCTGTGGTTTGGGCTTTGCACGCCATATGGTTTTGTTACAACTACTCAACTCTGCCATTGCAATGCATGAAATGTCAACATATTACATGAAAAAAACTATAGAGTATATATAAAGATTGAGTGTTGCTATGATCCAATAAAACTTAATTTACAAAAAGAATACGTAAGTTCGATTTGACCCGAGTCATAATTTGCTGTCCCCTCTATTAATTCAATGTCATCTTGATTATGAAATTCATGTATATATGAGCATTCTACAGGTGGTCAACAATATGTTAGTTACTTTATGTACATAAATGCATTAAATGTTCATAGGTTGCATTTTGCAGATGAGGAAAATTAAGACCTGGAGAGGTTAATGAGGAATTTAAGTTAACGCTGTTAGTAATTCTCAAATACTATAGGATGAGAATCCAATCCTATTTGACCCTGAGCAGTAAAGTCCTTCAATGTTCCTATAACTGTTACATTGAATAAACAAGACCCTGAGCTGCAATCCTAAAGACATTTTCTACTTGTAATTACCTCTATAAGCCATATCTGGGGGAAAGGGAGGCATTGTTTTCCTTTCATGCAATAAAATTTGGGCAGATAGCCCAGATAGCTTATCTGTTCACTTTAAGATAATCATATTAAAAAAAAATAGCCCTCTGGTTAATATCATCTCTCAAATAATCTCAACTCAGTAATTAACATGTTCTGTCCACTATAATAATAAAAACTGAATTTTAACCCAAGTATAATCTCTGCAGAAACATACATCTGGGAAGAGCAGATGATAAAGAGACATTTTTTCCCCTTTTTACTTTGCCATCTCCTCACTTTCCACAACACTTCCTTTGTTAATTCTTTATTGATATCTTCTGACCTATCCTGGTGAGGAGCTAGGGGATTGGGAGAGAGACAAGTAGGAGCCCAATCAGCCTTAGTAGCTGTGATGTGGCTATAAAAGATGTTTGAAGGTGACTCTCTCTTTGATACCACCAGCCACTGCTGTGCATGTGGAGTATCCTCCCCTGGAGTTTCCTTTTCTCTACAAAATGCAACTCCTTGTACTGACCCTTCACCTCTTCTCAGGCCTTCTCCCTCCAGCTGATCTTGGGAAGGATCCAAAGTGACTTCAAGTGTCCTCTCCCACCCTGTCTCTCTCTGGCTCTCTATGTCTTTATGTCTGTCTACCTCTTTTACTCCTGTCTCTTTCTCTCATGAACATTTCACTGGTCCACATCAAGCTTTCTCAAGCTCCAGGGGTCTCTTCAAAGCACTTTTCATTTTTCATGGACAGAAGTGGAAGTGTCCATCACCCCTCATCCTTATGGCTGTTTATGGGGCCTTAGCGTAAACCGATAACTGTCCCTAGCCTCCACCTTCTTGATGCTTCACCTTGTAAACGACTTTTTAAAATTTGCAAAATCAGTATTGACCTCCTCCTCCGCTATCCTTGCCTACTTTGGAAAATGCCTCCTGATAAAATGTGGGAGAAACTAGGGTCTATTGTTCTAGAGTGTCTGTAGAAAGTTTTTAATGGTTTTATATAAATCCTAAAATACTCTATATTTTCATAAGGCACATGCAGTATGGTTGTGAATACAAAATTAATACTCTAGAAATATTTATGAAAAATGGGTCAGAAAGTACTTATCTACCCTAATAAAAGATAAACATGCAAATTGATTGTACCTTCACTATGCCTTAAGCCACACCCACCAGCCAATCAAAGCAACTAAATGCAAAGTAACCCAACCAAGATGGCTGCCTGCAGCCATGGAGCTGGAGCAAGCATGAGGCTTGGTTGCCCCAATGATGGAGGAAGCCAGCTTCCCGCCTGCCACGGCCAGCTCTGAGCTCCACTCAAAGCAACAAAGTTTCAGTTATAGAAGATAAATAAACGCCAGAATAAAAAAAAGAAAAAAAGGAGAGGCTGGGTCCATCACTAGGGGGGGGGGAGGGGGCTTGGCCAGCCTGAAAAGGGACCTCAGCCCCTCACCCAGACTGGCCAGGAACCCCAGTGGGGACCTCCGCCCTAAAGGGGGTGAGGCCAGCCTGCAAACAGCCATCAACCCCTTACCCATGCTGACCAGGCACCCCAGTGGGATCCCCACCCTGATCCAGGACACCCTTCAGGGCCAACCAGCCAGCCCCACCTGTGCACCAGGCCTCTATCCTATATAATAAAATGGTAATATGCAAATTGACCCTAACAGCAGAACAACTGGGACGACTGGTCACTATGACACACACACTGAGCACCAGGGGCCAGAATCTCAATGCAGGAGCTGCCCCCTGGTGGTCAGTGCGCTCCCACAGGGGGAGCTCTGTTCAGCCACAAGCCAGCCTAATGGCTTCCAGTACAGCGGTGGTAGTGAAAGCCTCTCCCGCTTCCTCAGCAGCGCTAAGATGTCCGACTTAGGCCTGCTCCCCGCTGGCAAGTGAACATTCCCTGAGGGCTGCCAGGCTGCCAGAGGGATGTCAGACAGCCAGTTTAGGCCCAATCTCG